GAAGAAGAATATTCATCGAAATTAATTTAACAGAGAAAATAATAATATATGTGTTCGAGGAATTGTTTTATTTATTTTCTTTTGATTGTAAGTTAGTAAATACTACAAAGTTAGAATTTATCTGAGAAATTTAGTATCATATTAAGTAAAAGGTTGTTTTACTGCAGCATCCTCAGCTCCAAAGCATTTTAAAGGCAAACGGAAAATACTAAAAAAAAAAAAATACTCTTTTACAAAAATAAAATTTAAATATGGAAGCTAAAAATACATGATAAAAAACTATTTTTACTTTCAACATTTTCTTTCCAGATTTTCTTTTAAGTAAATTAGTAAATCTTCCATTTGTCTCTTTAATTTTAAATATGCATCATGGATGTATTATGTATTATGCATATTATGTTATAGATGACATAATACTTATATGATTTCTTAAATATATATATATATATATATATATATGTATCTATGTTAATTAATTTTTTGATTTACATTTATTGAAAAATCATGGATAATTGTTAAACCATTTTTAGTCATTTTAGTGTCACCAAATACAACTTTTTTTTTTGTTTTAAAATAACAGTGTTTTTTTAATTTAATTGCACCAAACAAAAGTACTTTCATCAAACAATTGTAAATTCGAATTTGAACTATGTATTTTTTTATATATTTATTAAAAATTTGTATTATAAATATGTATAATATATCACCATCAACGTGTTTCTACTAGAAAAAATATTAAACAAAATCTTCCTCCAAGCAAATTTTTTAATTAAAAAAAAAAAGTCTTCTCAGGTTCTCAAAACTACAGACACCCATACAACAATGTCCCCTCAAGTTTTTAAAAGGCTAATGGTTAATTCCAGTAAATATGGGGCCATATGGAAGAGAACTTCCACCAAGCCATGAAGAAAAAATGGGTTCCAAATATTTCAGAAATTTGCATCACTTTTTTAGAGATTTGACATTTTTTACGGCCACAAAAATAATGATTTCCATAATAAAGAAGGAAAAAAGATAGATATTTTGGAGGAGCAGTAACACTTTTATATTTTTTATTTTCATACCATATGTGGAAAGCCAGTGTTGCACAGATACATATTATATATATATATATAGACTCAAGAGTACGCAATACACACATCCGTTTTTCCCGTAGATATTAACTAAAGCTATATATTAGCGACAAACCAAACATGATGCTTGAAGGCTCGTCATGGTGGATGGAGGTTAGCATCTTGGTTGCAGTAGTCACCATATTTGTTGGGTGTAAATGGTTGATGATGATAGCCATGAGAGGTAAGCCACCATTGCCGCCTGGTCCAAGAGGTTTGCCTTTAGTAGGAAATCTTCTTTTTGTTGAACCCGATCTTCATATTTATTTTTCAAAATTGTCTAAGAAGTTTGGCCCAATCTTCAAAATTCAAATGGGTACAAAAATCTATATCATCGTAAACTCAGCTTCATTGGCCAGACAAGTCCTCAAAGAATATGATGCAATTTTTTCTAACCATGATCCCCCAGCAGCCGCAGCAGCTCTCACATATGGTGGACTTGACATAGTATGGAGGCCAAATGGTCCTGAATGGCGAAATTTGCGCAAGGTTTTTGTTCGCGAAATGATGAGCAAGACATGCTTTGATGCTTCTTATGACCTTCGTCGAAGAGAGGTGCGAGAGATGGTGAAAGAAATCTATGCAAAAGTAGGCTCACCCATAAAAGTTGGGGATATAATGTTCTTAACTTCTTTAAATGTAACAATGAGCATGTTATGGGGTGCCTCTTTGGATAAAGATAAGAAAAATAGTGTCGGCTTGGAGTTTAGGCAAGTTATAAATGCGATAATTGATCTTATAGGCAAACCTAATATATCTGATTTCTTTCCTATCCTTGGGCCATTAGATTTACAAGGAATTGTATCAAAAATAATGAAGCTTAGGTTATGGTTTGATGAGATTTTTGAATCAGTGATTGCAATGAAACCAAAAGTTGATGGAGAAAGCACAAAGATGAGTAATGAAAATAAAGACTTTTTGCAAATTTTATTGGAGCTTAGGCAGCAAAAAGATGAAAGGACGCCACTTTCCATGACAGATATCAAGGCTTTATTCTTGGTAAGTTAAAATTTAATTTATACATATATGTTTATATGTTAATAATTTTGCTTATACACACGTGCAGGATATTATTACGGGAGCAACAGATACATCATCAACTACATTGAATGGGCAATGACGGATTTATTAAAAAATTCAGATATAATGAAGAAAGTGCACAAAGAGCTAGAGAGAGTTGTTGGTGATGGAAAGATTGTAGAAGAGTCTGATTTAAACCAACTTCATTATTTGGAGGCAGTTG